CTCCTTTTTATTTATTTTTCTCCGTGTTTACATAGTATATTTACTTCAAGTGAAAGGGAAGGGACATCTGCTGAGCTCAATTCCTTTCACTTGACACTTTTTAAGTTTGTTATTTAGGTTACGAAAGGATTTCTGTATCTCAAACATTTTAGCACACATGCTGATACACAACCAGGTGCAACATCAGACTTGATGATGTTCAAAAATGCTTTCAGTCTCAGTGGGAAATTACTTTCCGGTGTAACTGCTCAACTGTTGACTGTGGCCACCTTGTTATTAGTCCGTTCATTTATTTACATTTACATTTAGTCATTTAGCAGACGCTTTTATCCAATGCGACTTACAAATGTTGTATTTTTTAAACAGAGATTAATAACTTCTGTAGCAAATGTAGCTATTGCTCATTGTGAATGTTAATGCATTATCTAAGGTTAACTAATGAGGTCTTATTCTAAAGGGATACCGATTGGTCTTTATAGTTCTTTTGCACTTTAATCTGTGTAAAACTTTTAACTTTATACATTTTTCTGTATTGCTTTATTGCATTTAAATGTTCAGTTATTTTTGTTATAAGAAAAAAGTTATTAAACCTGTTATACTGTATTATGACAGCCCTTTTTTTAAAACTAAATTTCAATACCGTGATAATACCGTATACCGTGATAAAAGCATGAGCAATTAATCGCAACATGAGAATGTGATACCGGCATATCCCTAGTTTACACGCAGATGAAACAGCGCTGACAAACAGCAGAAACACTGCGCAACGATACAGTCGGAAGGCTTTTTAATCTACAAATCGCCATCATTTACCATGGATTTACTGTAGTAGCTCTAACTGCACCATGGTATTGTGTCAGAAATGTGGGTATTAGTGTCGAATTTTATTATATTATTAATGTAGACATGTATTAAATATATTGAAGGAGTAATGGAATATAATTACAGTATTTTTTTGTGATTAAGCTATAGCGTTTATGCATTTCTAAAAGTATTTAGACTACTGTTTC